CAGGAGAGGCACCAGACGGTAAGAGCTGATCTGGGAGCAGCTTGGGTTTGAATATCTTTTTCTCTCCGTTCTGGAGTAGATAAAAATGGAAATGGATGCATAAAATACGCAGGTTCTGTTAAAAAAAAATACCAGAATAATTAAAGCGGAGAATGTGATCATAAACAAAACCGCAAACGAATTCTCCAAACGCTTCAGTAACACCTTTTTTAATATCTCATGAGTTTCAGCCAGCAGCTCGGATCCAAAAAGGATATTTAATTCTACTATCTGTCGATTTTAAAATATGCAAACCAAGATTAGTACCTTTTGAGACTTGAGCAGATTTTGCTGATACTGGGAACTATTTTTCAGTTTTATGATTAATAATGTAACTGCTTTATTTATAGAAGGCCGGTTAGTGAAACCATCATTACTTCCTTCTCTCAGGGTATGAAGCGGACCATCCAGTGCCTGCAGGACCAGCTCACCCTGCTGACCATGGAGGCCCAGAAGGACTTCACTGATCTGCGCTCTGCCTCCAAAGCTCTGCAGAATCCTCTGCAGGTCCTCCAGGAGAACATCAGCAGGTGAGTCACAGACAAATGGTCGGCTGCAGGAGGAGATGAAGAGCTACAAACACAACCTATTTTACTAAAATAAAACTTTAGTATAAAGTTTTGAATCCAACACATCATCTTGTTAAGGAATTATCAGTGTCTAAAATTGTTCTTCCTGTGTGCAGCGGTTACAGTTCGGTAGCGCATCAGGCCTCGGCCCAGGCAGACCTCCTCTGCGCCACCTCCTCCTCTCTGGCCTCCTCTCTACGTGTGAACGCCGACGAGAGCCAGCAGACGCTGGAGGAGATGACGGGCTGCTGCTCCCACCTCCACAGCTCCGTGTCCGGTACCGAACTCCTTCAGCTGTCTTTTTTTTAAAACCTTAAACCCACATCTGCAGTACATTCTGTGTGTGAATTACTGCTGATGGTGTCGATTCTTGACTGCAGGTCTGGTCCAACGTGACCTCCAGTGGAGCTCCAGAGCCAGGGAGCATGCAGAGACTCAAGCCCAGGAGCACCTGTCTCTGATGGGGAGGGTTTCCAGTGAGGCGCAGACCCTGCATCAGGTAAACACAAAACATCATACCACTTATTTCTGTAGCGGCAGGTCTTCAGGCTCGCTGCAGCTTCATCTTGTCCTCCAATACATTGTTTTTTTTTCTCAGAGCGTCGAGGAGCGCTGCACCGAGCGGCTCCGAACAGCCGAGGAGGAGCTGTCCGGTCGGCAGGAGGAGGTGAAGAAGGCTCTGGTGGCCGTGCAGAAGCAGAACTCCCTGGACTTGACTGTCCTGGACCAACAGCAGGCTGAGCTCCAGGACCACATGAAGACGGCCCAACAGATGGTCCACGACTTCCTGCAGGAGGAGCTGCAGCAGGACGTTCCCACCGGTACTTCTAGTGTTTTTGTGTGTTTGTGCGTATGTACGATTGCCCCGCCCCCGAAGTCCAATCCGAACGTCTAAAGTCTTGTGTTGTGGAGTCCTTTGACCTGTCCAGGTCACTAACAAGTTCTGCTGTTGCCTTCAGGTTTGACCCCTCAGCGTCGGGAGTTTGTGTTTCCCAGGCAGCTGGTGAAGATGCGCAGCCGCTGCGAGCTGCTGGAGAGCCTGAGGAGGCAGCAGGAGGAGCTGCAGGCCGCCATGGAGGAGGAGGAGCTGCAGGCCGCCATGGAGGAGGAGGAGGATGAGGACAAACGCAGCCAGGTTAACGATTTGTTTTTAATTATTTTATTTATTTATTTGATGACATCCTCTACATAGTCGGGCTTAGGATGCTTCCTCTTGTAATCAAGCACACGTAACCTGATTTAATATTTAATAGGTTGATTTGTTTTATTTAATCCACTATATACTGATTCAGTTTGATAAATTCAATTATATTTGGCTGTCATTCACACCTCTGGGTGTTTTTTTGCTTCCAGATATATGCAGATATTTAATTTCTTTTGGCCAAATTAAAAGAAATGCACTACTTTGTGCACCATTTTCACCTTGTTCCTCTTTATTGTGTCCAGGACTCCCTGGAGGACGACTTGAGTACTTGTAACGAAAGCTTGGCCACAGAGCCGTCCTTCATCGACGAGAACCTCGTCTTCAATGAGAGCAAACGCGTTCCCTTCTTCAAGGTGAGCGTGGGTGGAGAATCTTTCTGATGTTCTGTTTCAAATCAATTCAGGGAAACTATAAAAGGATGCTTTAGATTTTCTTCAGCTGCAAATTCAAGTATTGCATTGAGTAGTTTTACATTTATTCATTTAGCGGACGCTTTTATCCAAAGCAACTTACAACTGCTATATACATCAGAGGTCGCACGCCTCTGGAGCCACTAGGGGTTAAGTGTCTTGCTCAGGGACACAATGGTGGATGGGTTGAACCCGGGTCTCTCACTCCAAAGGCATGTGTCTTCTCCATTGCGCCATCACCAATAGTTAACGTAGCTAGTTTGGTTTAGTTGGATCAGGCGGGCAAATTTGTTTAACAGGCCGTTGGTTAATTTAGTGGCTCAATAGGCATGCTAGTTAGGCTATTGACAACATGCTAATTAGCCTAACACATGGTGGCTACATGCGCCGGTTAGCCCACCGCGTGGTGGCGACATGCGCCGGTTAGCCCACCGCGTGGCTTAGGGACTATCAAAAAATATATATTAATTTTATAATGTGTTGTGATTTTTTATTTTTTTTGTTGCTTCCATGTCATGTGACTCCAAACTTATGTAAATGCTCTGTGTATAGCGCCTTTCTAGTCTTTTCGACCACTCAAAGTGCTGTTACACTACATCTGCATTCACACACTGAGCAAGTGTTCAAACAGAAACTGGTAAACCGGTAAAGAGTGGGCTGAGCCGGTGTTGTGGGTCCAACACAAGAAAATACAAGAAAAGTGTCTCACTCAGCAGATTCAGTGTAGATAAGAGTCCCGGTCGAGCTGCAGAGTGTGTTGCTCTTTGCTTGTGTGAAGGCGGGTGTTAAACTCAGCTTAATGGTAAATTAGGTCAGTAGTTCAGAATAGACCTCAGTAGTTTATGACCGCACGGCCTGATCGATGGGTCAAAACAACATCCGACATGAATACTGGGCCTCCATACGAGTGCTCGTCTGAACTTTTGGCACATTTACCTGTGTACTTTATAACAGTGATTTTACATTCTTGTAATTTCTCTTTTACAGCAAAAGAAGGGCGGTAAGAAGGAGACGAAGATCCCCACCAGGTTAAAAGTGTCAGAAAACGAAGCCACGTCAACGCCTCAGAAGTCCAGACTGCCTCTCCGCCCTCAGAACTAAAACAGTTTTAATGTATTCTTGTTATGTCGTCAAAACTCTTTGTCTCATATATTTTTAATAATTTTGTCTTTTAAATGTTAGGGTGCTGTCTCGTGAACTGTCACTTAGCTTTAGCAACACAAATTGTCTTGACATTTTCAAGTTGTTTGTAAAAATTAAAGAGATTTATACAAGTATTTATGCTTTTTGGTTCGTCATTAACTGCAGTAGATAAAGTCCGAATAGAAAACACTGACATGCACTTTATTTATTCTGAAGAGCCGAGCAGGATTTATCATGTTTTCTCAAAATGAGGAACCAATTTATTCTTTTCCCTCTCAAGTGTAGCAACAGGATCTGTACCAACACCCTCACATGCAGTATTAACAAGTAGTCAAGTTTCTAACTGCTGAAGTATGACTTTTGACTGTGGGGCGTGGTTTCAGATCTCAATAGCTCAGACTAGTTCACTGGTCCCTGCACATCATGAATCATGGGAAGTTTTATATCAACTCTGCTCAATAATTTAGCTCTGAATGCTGCTTTCTTGATTCACTTCTGTGCAGGCATTTAATTCCACATGTGGGTGTTTTTTCCATCCCATAAGCGAAAACGGTTCCAGTATGTACCTTTTTTGTTTTAAATCATATTTTAAAACTTAGGGTTCATCTAAAGCACAAAATCCCTCCTTGAATCTATTAAATGTGCTCTACATAACAGGCTAAACTCCTCTGAAGGTCAAACTTTGCCCTTTCTCTTAAGTGTAATTTATTTGTATAGCACGTTTTTAAACAAAACGTTTTTATTTTCACACAAAATTCCCTTTATGTATGTCTGATAATTTAGGAAAACTGGGTGGACTGCATCATTGAACCATTTTATTTTAAATTGTGTTAATTTGCACTAGTAAAGGTTGGTTGTTGGGTATCTTTGAAAAATGATAGTAACTTAACAGAACAAGGCGTGATAGCATGAAATGTGACAGTAAAATGAAGGGTTTGTTTGATTTGAGCAGATTAATAAATGTTAATGTCATGGCTGATAGTAACTTTAGTCTCCTGGATTGATCCATGTAGTGTCAGGATGTGTTTTCCCTTCAAACCTCTAAACGGGGTTTTTTTTAGGGGGGGTGTTTTCCGCGCGGAATGTTTTATGGGTGTTACTGTATCTACACCCTTCATTACGTTTGTTAAAATATATTTGTCATAAACACGGGGAAACTCCCATCATTTACTTTCGGTTCATATACGTGTAGTGATAGAAAATGTCTCCCTAATCAAATACGTCCTACTCGTGTTTCTACCTGAAAACCGCCTGTCCGAAAGGCTAAAACTGACTTATCAGAATAAATACCAACAAGTACAACCTTTAACCAGACTTATTTGTGTCCTTTCTATTAGTATTAATGTCCTTTTTGTCATAGTTTTTTTGTTAACAACGTTTAATAAAACGCCCGGTAACCGGACGTTGACTGGCTTCTGTTAATAATGCCTGTCCGGTTCGAACGAAACTTGTAATTAATCGATTCAAGCTATAACATACTAGCTAAATAAGCGATGGAATAACTCGCTGTGGTAGAAGGTTAAATATTTAGATAGATTATGCTCTGCGTTAGAGATCAACATGTGTCGAATTTAAATCTGGCAGTGAGGAGACCACCTGAGTCATCAGATTTTCACGGTGAGCACCAACAGATCCGTTACACTCGCAGAGAGCGAGCGTGGAAGGAAGGGCGTCCCGATCACACCAGCTTTCCGCCTGTCGAGCTAACCGACCATTTTTCGCTGGTATTACAGATTAACCTGTCGAATTTGGTTCGGGCAGTGAGGAGACCGCCCGGGTGATCAGATTTTCACGGTGAACACCAACAGATCTGTCACACTCGCATAGAGCGAGCGAGCGAGCGAGGAAGAAGAAGGAAGGAAGGGCGCGGCTAGCACACCAGCTTCAGCCTGACGAGCTAACCGTCGCTTTTTCGCGGGTATGAAGATCGATTTTCTCTCAGTCCTGTATTGAGATTAAAGACATGGGGGAACAGGTTGGTGTTTGGCTCCGGGCGGCGGTGCTGGCGACCGTGCTGATCTCTGTTTTAGCCGAAGATAAATACTTCGCTGTTGGTGGTAAACTGGAGCTGAGGCCTCAACCATCAGCAGCCATCACCAACATCCTGTGGAAACACAACAACAATCTGCTGGCAGAGTGGGTGCAGGGACAAATTGAGCTGACATACTACAGTACGTTTAAAGACCGCACAACCCTGAACACAACCACTGGACGATTGGAAATCAAGAACATGGGAGAAGCTGACGCGGGGCTGTACTTAGTGGAAATCAACAGCCATGTCCAGAGTCCGAGCTATGATGTTAAAGTGATCAAAGAAGTGCCCAAGCCTGAGGTGGTGTTGCGACCAGTGTCCTGTAATGGGGATTCACTAAACTGCACGCTGTCCTGTGTTGGAGACACTGGAGGGGCCGAACCTGTGACCTACAGCTGGAAGGAGGGAGCCGGAGACTGGAAGGAGTCGGGACAGGACCTGAAAATCACCAAGACTCAGACAGATGTTGAAACATTTTCCTGCAAGATTAAGAACCCGGTCAGCGAGAAAGGAAGTGAACCCGAAAAGAATCCATTCTTCCTAAAGAACAAGACGAACGGCCCTGGACCTGCAGTTTGGTTGGTTGTCCCCGCCGTCTTGGGCCTTTGTTTTATTGTAGGTCTAGCATTTTGGAAGAGGGACAAGATCATGGAAGAGATCTCGAAACGTCGAGGTGGAAACAATCCTTCAACTAAACCTGAACCTGTAAAACCTGATGAATCTTTGAACATGATGGAAGAAGGAACGACTGCAGACAAGAATTCTACAAACGAACAAAATGATGCATGAAGTCGTGGAGCTCTCTTCTCATGGGGAATTTGCCACTCATAGTGCGTTTGACCCAATCTGGGGGGAAAAAACAATGCTTGTGTGTCTTTATTAGCATCATGGACTGTTACTTTGCAGGAGGAAGAAAACTCCCAAACCCCCCCCCCCCAAAAAAAAACCCAATAGAACAGAGGGATGGCATCAAGATTTTTTTTATTTTATTGTGTTAAAACTGTGTGTAGCTTATGAGGATATGATTATGACAATAAGTATGAGAGAGGGTATACATGTCCTTAAGTGTCCATTTAGCCACACTTCCAGTTCACGTATTAACACAAATCCCAAAGAATGTACTAACAATTGAAGCCCAGATCTAAAAGAACTGTTAAGTTTTTGTTTCTGCTATTCCTTGATGAACTGAATGTAAGACGTGTCTTATCCATCTGTCTGATCTATCTATCTGAACCTGGATCCAGCGACTCTCAAGTGTTGCTAAATTGAATGAAGTACCCTTAAATTAAAAAAAAAAAAAATCGAAGAATAGACTAGAAGAAATCCAAACATCATTTTAAGGGATGCTGCCAATGTGTGTGTTTGTTTTAATCCTGGATCCATTAATTGGCTGTACATTGCATTATACATCTTATCACTGCATGTTCAGTGCTAATGGCAAGCGATGTTTCAGCATTTTGACAATGTGTATATGTAATTAACTTAAAATAATGTGACTTAATCTGCTCCAAGCTATTGGACAATCATTCTTTTTTTTAATTATATGGTTTTTGTTGCTGTTCATTTAGGCCTGACTTCTTTTTTTTTTTTTTTTTTAAAGAAAACACATCTATTGACGCCACTTTACGTAACTTATTGTATTTAGCTTTTTTAAAAGGTTTTTAGTTATGGTTCGTTTTTTGTAAGTGCCTTAAAAAATAAACCTGTCACACAGAGCAGACTTCTCGTTATTATTTCTGAAATGGACGCCGGGGGCTTGAAAAGGAGGGAGGAAGTGGAGAAGGAACGAAGCCGGAAGTGAGCGCGGATCACACTCGCGCAGCTCTTTCCTGTGTGATGCTACATCAGAGAGCTGCCGGGCCGCCCGACCTGGGATGGATTTAGAAGAAGCTTTTCAAGTTGTGGGCGAGTTTGGACCCTACCAGCAGCGGGCGGTGGCTGTTCTTGTTCTGACCCAGGTTAGTGGATTTGTCTAATAACGTTACGTGAGAACCAGAGAACGCCCCTGACAGTGCTAACTTAGCGCTACGTGGCTTTCCAGTCTCTGTCGGAGGACTTTTTAAGCGTTTTATTGTGGCCACAGAATGTAACATTTGGTGCTGAAACATTTTAACGCTTAAGCAATCACTATATTTTTACAGTTTCTCTATGTAAGAGCGCAGGATGTGCACTTTCCTGGATAAATAGCTGTAAACCAGACTTCCTTGAAAAAACGACGTGAATAGTGCAGCCTTGTTTATCGGCAAACTTAACTTCGCAAATCAAGCAGTCCATAACTCAACACGTATATGAGCTGCTATTTAACTAAACAGACCATACTTTGCCTACTAAAACATAAATCATTCCAACATGGCCAAATATCATCCCGCCGCTCCGGAGAACTTGCAAGTTAATTTTTATATTGACAAGCATTGTGAAACACGTGTAAAAATTACATTTATTTAAAATAAATGACTCGTAGCAACGTCAAACCTTTGCCGAATTGATCACAACATTCCACATATTCTAAATAATTGTAAGTATTTTCCCACTTCGTCTGTATTGTCCCAAATATCAAATTTAATCTCAAACCTCAGCATCTTTTAATGAAGTTCGTCAAAACCTCCGTTGCGGTTAAGCTAACTAAGCTAGCTAATAGTCGTTAAACGTAACCGCACTCAATAAAAGTTCCCCTGATGGTAGTTAGATGGTAGATACATGATGATTAATTTTTTTCATATCTATTATGCTTGATTTGTTTGCCATCTTTTGATTCCCAGTGATTTGTAGAGTTGAGCGCACTGATTAACTTGAAATCGATCACCGAGTGCAAAACACCAACGTTACATCTGCTTTAAGTCTATTTAGCCTTCATATTTTTTTTTCTGTTAACTACTATATTAAGTTATTTCGTCTTTAAAGCCTCTTATCTCAAATCCCATTTATCCAGCACCATGGCAGAATACAGGTAGTCATGACAATAATCAACAAACCGCTTGTGTTGTCACTTTAAAAACATTCAGAAGCGTGGATTCAGGTGTTTTGACAGGTTGTATGATGCAGGACAGATCAGTGTGTGAGTCTGGTATTGGCCTTGTTAGAACAATACCTCAATAAAATGCAGTGGATCCTGTTCCAGCCTGCATTCATGATGGGTTTTGTTGTCTTAATTACAGGCAAGAATACAGGAGGGTTGTGTGTTTTTAATATGTGTTGTCAGGTTTGGAAAGCAGTACATTGTTAGTTGCAGTTTTAATGGTGATAAAGTGTTTATTCTACTAGAACTGTCTCTCAGCACATTGGCACTGATTTGTTTTGATAGTCTTAATATGATAAGACAAATAATAGATTTAAACTACATGTGATATACTGTAGATGTTATCTTAAATAAAGTTGATAAGTTACTCAAACAACGTGAGGCGCACTGGATTTATACTCTGCAAACATTGGCTCCTTGAGACTTAATGATGAGTTAGTTTTCTGGTGATTGTGAACATTATGTTCTCTGTCTGCTTTGTTACTGACATCATAACTGACAAAAATAGCAGCAAATACTCATATTGAAGAAGATGAAACCAGCAATGTTTCACGTTGTTGCTGATGTCAATTTATTGTCTTTCGACACACTAATCGATTAATTGACTAGCCTAATCGTTACAGCTCTACCTGAGTATTCCCTGTCCAGCTGTAAACATGTTGGATGAACATATCGTATCAGGACCATTAAGCATTGTGTTCATTTATAAATGATCCTGCATGAACATTATAAGGACCTTTTAATGTGTTTTTTGTACTAAATATAATAAATAATGTGGAGGTTTGTAAGTCATATTTATGTTGATGACTTTTTCTCTCAGTTTTTTGTTTTTTACTTAACAGTGTGACATTTTTCCCTTGTGAATCTTTAGTGAGGTCACATGATATTTCCTCTATTTATCTATTGATGTATCAGGTAACAGCTGAGATCTGAAACTGAAAACGTGTGTCTATGAACGGATTTGATTTGTTCTAAATGTTTTGTGAATATATACGCACCCGTCTCACGTTACAGAGGTGCAAGGTCATTTTCTGTTCTGAATCCTGATAAAGTGAGAGATAAAGCACGGTGTGTGCAGCAGCTAGGCCTGCAGCTTGTGTAAAAGCCCAGCAGCTGGTGGGAAAACAAATGGTCCCAGATCTGTTTTGTTTGGCCCTCCTCCTTCCTGATGGCCAGAGTGGAAACTCTGCATGAGCAGCAGTGTTGACCCAACCATTGTTTTGGAGGGATTTTCAGCTAACAATATCATGGAATCGGCCAAAATGTTGATGCCATTTAAAAAAACAATGGGGCCTTTCCCAACATTGTAATCGTTTTTGCCCACAGAGGAACAGAAAAACGTTCTTGCTATGTTTTGGTGTTAACAGGCGCTCTTTCTGTCTCCTCTGTGTCGGTGTTTCAGCGAGGGCAGAGTTCAAAGCCTCCTTCACACACACACACACACACACACACACACACACACACACACACGCCATCATATCAAAGACGACGCTAGCGAGACCTCATCACTTCAACAGACTCTCAGAAGTAAAACCACACCGGCAGATGCAAGGCGGAGTCAGATATTCAGTTTAAAAATAAATTAAAACACTTATGTCTGGTCTAGCTGTGTAAACAAGACGGAGCGCTGCACAATACTGCAACAATGTAAATTTTCCCTTTTTATTAAAGAGTATTATAGTATTTTTAATATCCTGCTGTTACAATACATTCATTGTAAATTGTCCCTATAAATAATTTCACATACATTTGAACACTTCTATATGCATATTTACATGATGCATCAAATTAACTGATGTTGATTCAATTTGTAATAAATTTGCTGTTGACATTTTATTCGTCCACCACATGATTACACACTCTGTCTGATGACACAGTGCCCTTCATTTTTTTTTTAAACACAGAATTCAGGAAAATTAAAACAGAAAAACGCATAATTTGGAAATATATAAAGGGCTTCAAAGGGCCCTGTCCACGGTCTTTGCCCTCTGAACTTTGTTTCTGTGTTTCAGGTGTACATGGCCTGTCAGTCCATGCTGATCGTTCTGATTGGATCCACGCCGAAGTACCGGATCGAGCAGCTGGACGGCGTCGGCAGCAGCCAGCGGGAGCTCGTTACCTTTACAGAGGACACCGACTCCATAGTGACCGAGGTGAGGGAGTTCACGTGCATTTTCACTTTTAGCGTCAGTGAAGCTTAAACCCACAAACAGAGACTGAGTGGTTTCTGCTGCTCTCTGTGTTCCCCAGTGGTTTCTCATCAGGCATCAGGCCTATAAGGTCAGTCTAGCAGGGTCGCTGTTCTTCGCCGGGCTTCTGGTCGGGAACATCGTCTTTGGGCCGCTCTCGGACAGGATCGGCAGGAGACCTGTCTACCTGACAGGTGAGCGAAAACCACACGCCATGATTTGTCTCAGTGAGTTAGTCCTGGGGCTGTTTGTCTAGTAGTCAACGGGCTGGATTTAGAAATTCAGACCATTTTAAAAGAAGAAGAGTCTCATATTTCTCTCCGGATCAGGTATTACAAGTCACATTACTTACATTCACTCTACTCTCACTCTTCTTCTTTCACGCAGGCCTGTTTTTCGAGGTGATCTTTGGCTATGTGACCGCCTTCGCCCCCAGCTACGAGGTGTTCGCCGTGTCTCGCCTCCTGGTGGGGCTGATGAACGGCGGCATCGGCCTCGTCTGCTTTGTCCTCACTCAGGAGTACGTGGGCAAGTCGTACTGGGCCATGACGGGTACGAAAAACACACAAACAACCCGGTCGTGCATCAGTTTTTATTAATGACTTCTGCCAAATAAGTGCTGAAATTCGATCGAGTCGATCAGTTTTGGATATTTATCAGATAAAGTGTTGAATGTTTTCTGGTTACAGCTTCTGAAATGGCTGCTTTTCTTCTTTGGTATATTGAATGTAGAGTTTTAGAGCGATTTGAGAAAACATATCGGCGCGTTCCTTCGCTGTTGTATTGAGTATTTATTCCTCTGTTCTTCAGGGACGTTGACCAGCATGACCTTTGCCGTCGGCATCGCCCTGTTCGGAGCTCTGGGCTACTTCATCCAGCCGTGGAGGAACCTGGCTATGGCGTCCAACTCGTCCGGCGTCCTGTTCCTCCTGCTGTCTGTGTGAGTACAAACCTCAGAGAGACGAGTCGCCACCGCCTGCGTCCAGAAAAAAGCAAACAAATAAAAATAGACTGGTGGGTTTTAGAAGCATTGAAACGCATGAAACAAAATATCATGTAATATAAATTACAATTCAATCAGAATACCTTAAATATAACAAACTGAAAGGAGCATACCAGGGTTTTTTTCTACAAGTCACACAAGTCTTTATACTAGTGGTGGACTGATACCGATATTTATTTAGAGAGCAGGATATACACTGATATCAAAACAAAGTCATTTATAATTCTTTTATTCCTGCAGAGTACAGTCTAATATACATGTTATCTCAGTACGTGGCCTTTTATATCACACTTTTTTTTTCAAACCATGCTGATGTGTTTTAAATTTTTGATCTTGTGGTAAAACGAAAACATTATAAAACAACAACAAACTCATTTTCACACCCCACAGAAATGAATGGAAACCAATTAAAATAGATATGTAAATAAAAAGGGATTTAAAAAAAAATATTAAGGATGCATGTAAATCCTGTAAACAAGATTGTGACTGTGGCTCAAGAGGACAAGCGGGTTGCCCGGTAATCGGAAGGTCAGCAGTTCAATCCCCGGCTCTTTGGGAAATCTTGAGAGTAATCTGCAGGAGTTGTTGTTGTTGTTGTCGTGGTGATGTCAGGAGTATTAATAATGTAAAAAAATGTAAGACGACTTCTAAAGACTTGTTTTTGGAAAAATACATATAATAAAAGAAACACTCCACACAGACCATCTGTTGTGACAGTTTCCGCGGAGATAGCTCATCTAGCAACATTAAGGCCACCAAAAACCCATCATGCATCACTATCTTGACGCAGCAGTCGCACCTTTCGCGGAAAACATCTGCTGTTTTGTGAATATGTGCACGCCGTCCACTCCTCGAATTACATCGGCGTAATGACTCCTCTGGTCTTTTTCCCTCCAGCACTCTTCCCGAGTCTCCACGCTGGCTGTATTCGAAGGGTCAGACGCAGCGAGCAGAAGAGGTGAATACATTAGTACAAATATTACAAGTGCTGTATATACGTTCTTTCCAGACTTCTTGTGCTGGAGCTCAGTGGAAAACGAAGGTTGACGAAGACTCGTGTTAAAAGAATCTGACCGCATTCACAGGGTCCATCTGCAACTCCTGAACTGTGTATCGTTGTATTTAAATATTGTCATATTCCCTTTCTTTCTTAAGGGGTGGCCCTGAATTTAGCCAGCCTGTGTCTGGGTTCCTCTTAACTTAACAGCGAGGTAACTTAGTCGGTAAACGTCTCGTCTTCGTAGGTGCTGCGCTACATGGCGCTGAGGAACGGCAACCCTGCCAACAACCTGGTTTTGAAACGCGTCTGCGCTGCTAAAGCCGGAAACCGTGACGGCAGGGGGGCAGGTGTCCTGCAGCTGGTGATCCATCCGGTCCTCCGTCTGAGAACCATGGTGCTCATGTATGTCTGGTGAGTAGAGCACCACAGAAGAAGAACAAAGCGTGCGAGATATGTTGCTGCAGGTGCTGTAGCCCAAAGCTGCTAAGGGATGCTGCTGTTACTACTGCAGTATTACTACTACTAATACAGCTACTTCTATCACTTCTATCATTGCTACCAGTACTGCAAATAAAATACCCACGATTCCTCCAGTTTCTGCTTAAGATTTTTCTGCTTCTTTAAATTCATCATGAGGTTCTTTTTGCTCTTTAGAAAATGATCCTTTTGTTGTTTGTAATCTTTTAACGGCTATTTGATGGATCTCACAAATGTTTTTTTTTTTTTACATATCGTTGAACAGAGAAGGCTGAAGAGGAGAAAATATTTATACAAATGCATTTTCTGGGTTGGTTTTGTATCTACAAATATTTTACTTTACAGAAATCTTCTGTATTCCATCCTCCAGTCTTGTCTGAAGTTACAGACTGACTGTAGAATAAACAAAACCTTTTGCTTTTGGACAGATGGAAGGTGAATCTTTAAAGTAGTCGGGGAATTTAAGATGCTGTATAACCATAAAGACATGTGGTTTGGGCCGTAGTGTTATCAGCAACAGTTAGAGTAACAGATCAGTTTAGTCTGATTAGTTTTTTGTGTGTGTGTTGCAGGTATGCGTGCAGTCTGGTGTACTACGGTCTGACTCTGGGGGCCAGCGAGATGTCTGGTAGCCGTTATATGAACGTAGCCATGTACGGCCTGGTGGAGCTGCCCGCCTACCCGCTCTGTATATACTTCATCAACAAACACTGGTGAGACACACACACACGCAATAATACACACTATGTAGTTCAGAGAGTCTGTGTAACACCTCAGTGTTGGAGAAGTCTTTGATTGGCCCAGATCCATGCACAGTACAAGTGTAGGATGTAAGTGTTATTTGCACGGTACAAAATATTTTAATAAAAATACTAAAACTCTGTCAACAGCATCGTGTTTCTGTTTTGCATGACTGATGAGACCCAATCAGAGAGCCGTCTTCACTAAAATGCTCTCCGGAGCTTCAAAACGAAAACGCAGTAGTCTGGATGGGGCCTTAATTATAAACTTTGTGGAGTTATATTTCCATCTTAAGTTTAAATTAGTTTGTTTTAAGAAAATGTTGAAAGCTCGAGGCAGATAGCGTTGTGAGGTGTCCTGGTTTGAGCCTCCACTGATGTGATCTGTGTGTCTGTTGTTGTGCAGGGCCGGGAGGAGGAAAAGCATGGCGAGTTTCCTGTGTCTGGCCGGCTCTGCCTGCCTCTGCACCACGTTCATCCCCGAAAACGCAGGTGAGACATTAAAAACAGAGGAATATCAGAAACAGCTTTATTTATACAAGTAGTTTTTTGGTGACGAGGTGCATAACATATGAAATTGACAAGGTATCCAAGTTATAGAATAAGTCCAGAGTCCGTGTCAGTGAGGGTCCCAGGCCTTGTTGATGAGGCCAGATGGGAAGAAGCTGTTCAGATGGCGTGAGGTTTTTGGCCCGATGGACCGCACCCTCTTGCCAGAGGCGATACGATGTCTGGGCGTGGGCTTAAATGTCAGTGCAAACAACACAAAACCCCAGCAGGACCTGAGGAGTTTAATTTGAAGTAATTCATACCAGAAATGATGTGAAGGAAGCAGAATGAAAACCTGGCGGCACAGCTGTTCTGTGAGGATGATGTCACCACGTTGCACAACCAGAGTCCGTTTAAAAAAAACAAAAAAAACAAGACGACATTTTTAAGATGATGATCCCCTGGTTTTTTATCTAATCATTTTACTTTTTGGTCTTTGACTAACGCTCTTATCTCAACGAGCCGACCTGGAATTAATTCAACGTTAGATTAAGATTAGATAAGATTAAGATTAGGACGTTGAACAAACTGTTTGTTTGTTTCACGCTATAGTTTTTTGATATTGCAGTGACCCATAAGGAATGATTATAATGGGGGTTTTGCTGCTCAACGTGATGTTTATTATTATTAATATTATTATTATTATTATTATTGGCATATGAATTTACTCAATAACACAAATGCAAATGGCTGCAGAACGTAAAGATGATACCTGCCGCTCCTCAGATGTGCTTCAAGAAATCCGTTTCTCTTGTCCTAGTGTTTCAAACTAATTCTTTCAAATATGGTCCAGATGTATAAATACTGATTTAAGCATTTGAGCTTTAGTATCCTGAATTTGCTCGGCCCGTATTTTGTGACTTGTAAGGTAAATATGGGACTGTGTGTTTTCTTTCTGTTTGCAGGAGCCTTGCTGAACGTTACGTCGTTGGCGCTTCTGGGAAAACTGATGGTCAGTGCAGCGTTCAACATCGCCTACGTGTACACCTCTGAACTCTACCCGACAGTTATCAGGTGAACTAAGACTCATTTATTCACACTGCCTGAAGTAAACCAAGTGTGCTTTAAGTGCTTCTTTTTTTATTTTTATTTTATTTGAATGATTTTTTTTGTGTGTTTTTCAGGAACGCTGGTTTGGGAGTTTGTTCCATGTCGTGCAGAGTCGGAGGAATCCTTGCACCGTTTGTTCCTTCCATGGTAAGGGCGTTTAGCTTTTGTAGCTTCTCAACGAAACTGATTCTCTCTGGACGACATTTGAGCCAACGTCAGCAAGTACAAGAACAGGGGAATTTAAACAGGCGTTGTATTATGACCTTTTATTGACTTGTGTTAGAAGCCAGGAATGGATAGTGCGGTTTTTTTCTGAACTCCTCCTGTTTTTTTTCCCGGGAAGAGAAAATGTGGAATGTGAGTTTTTGTCTTTTGTGGATATCAACTGCATTCCTCTGGCAGGATTAACAAAATTACAACACGGTGCAGGAAGTCACGGCACGTTTCAACAACAAGGAAATTCAAAGTGCTTTACAGAAAACAAAAGCAACATTTAAATAGAAACTCGAAACAGGACAGATGCCATAGTTTTCTGGATTAGAGCAACGAATGTCTTCTCGGGGGGGAAAAGAGGAAACGCCGCTAGATGATTCATGCTGAAATCAGTTTGATATGACTAATCAGTCTGGCAAAGCTTTCAGCCAGCTGGGTGGAGTCGCTCAGTTGTCATGGAAGTGGTTTCAGAAACAACAGGGAAGGTTTCAAAGGTCAGACTGAACCTTCAATGAAATTATTAATCCAGCTGTATTCATGCGGTTGTTCATGTGTTACGTCTGAAGACGTCCCTTTCTCTTTCTAGTTCATGTGTTACTCTGGCTAATTGTTTTTCATAGTTATCATATTAGTATTATAATAATAATCAATGCATTTTATTACCGGACATAAAACTAAACAGGAATTTGGTTTAGAATACGTTTGTATAAATTATTATTAGACTTTTTATTGTTTTAAATAATTTGCTTGTGCATTATGGACTCTGAAGTCATCTGTTTAGTTTGTCAAGCAGTCACTAACACTGCGTCTTCATTTTAAAAATGACTTTGCCATGTGACACTTTTTAAATGACATACACGATGTTACATGAGAGTTTCACTTTTACATGAGAGTTTACTTTGTAACTGCACACTCGGTGCGAGATACTAAGATGGTAAACTGAACTCAGCTGAGTCATGGGAGCAGTAGGTGTAACTTGAACCTTTAATATGTAGTGACGCCTAGTGGTGGCTTATGTTACTTCAACGAGACGTAGCAACTAAACCTCAGGCACAGTTTAAATCTGAATACACAGCAGATTTTTGACCCAAGGATGCAGCAGCAGCCACTTTTTATGAATTATGATTCAATTTCTGTCCTTTCAGTGTCAGACTAGTGTGAGCTGCACACTCAGTGGTGCACCAAAGAGCTCAGTCTTTGTATTTATATTGATTTATTTAGAGATTTATCCAGACTCCACAGGTCTGGAGCCAGAAACACCTGCAGAAAGAGACAGAAGGAGAGGAGAAAGCACAAAAGCTACAGGAGGGGGAAGAAGTCGAGGTAGTAATTAATAGGATAAAAATGCAAACAGAGGAGGAGGGAGATGTATCATGGGAAGTGTCCCGGCAGTCTTGGCCTGGTTCAGGACTCACCTGAGCCAGCCCTAACTATAAGCTTCATCAAAGAGGAAAGTCTTAAATGTGGAGATCTGCCGCCTGAAGCCAAACTGGAACCAGGTTCTCTCTTTTTATTAAAGCTCACTCATGTGTTAACAGGGCTTTGGTTGTGTAAGTCGTTTACTGCACCTGCTTTATTGAATTATTTCCATACAATTGAACCCAGCATACCATTAAAAACATAATGTACAATAGTGCAGGTGGTAGCAGCAGATACGATATATAAATAATCTTAAAGAATAACAAATGTTGGGGAACAAAGTACATCTTGTATATGGTTGTGAGGTATCTACTGTATGTTTAGACAGTCACCTTCCCTGCAATGGTAATAATAGTGGAGAGCTTGTTTTTGCTCTTTACACTCATGCAATTATAAAATGCTTTCCACCACTGCCATTTCAAATATGTGTTGGCTCACACATAGACTTCCTGGTAAGAAACCGTTGCCGATTGGCTCTCTGTGCTCATAAAAGGTTTGGCTCTGATCGGTGATTGTGCCCAGGTGTGTAAAATACAGCTTATGCAGACATGTCTGATTGTCATTGTACAGAACATTTATGTTTACTGTTTCCTCAGTTTTTCTGATGCCATTGTGTGTTTGTGTTGCAGCGGGCTCTCCACACCTCCATGCCTTTCACTGTGTTCTGTCTGAGCGGCCTGTCTGCAGGCTGCCTGGGCCTCCTGCTGCCTGAAACCCTCAACGGACCAACAACAGATACTCTGGAGGAGCTCGGCAGCCCGATCCACAGCCGAGTGCTGGAGAGCAAGGTGACGAAACAACACCGTACTAATACAGATGCGCATATCTTTAAACGTTGTACTGTCAGGTAGACTGTCCTTCCCACAGCACAACAAGTACGACCAGTACAAACAGTAAATTTAAAAGAATACTTTTACCTCACAGAACATGAGTGTGGCTGTTCTTCTGCTGCCACAGTCGGGTAGTTATTGTGTGAATTAGGTGTTTCAGGGGTCAAAAGTCACAAAATAACTAACTAACTAAACTAACCGGCTGAGGCAGCTGTAGACCAGAGAGATAAAATTACTGTTTTGGTCAAAGGAGTCTGGCGGCTTTGATGAGAGAGTTATGGTGGCTGTTTCTGGTTAAAACAAAAGGGTCTTACCCTTTAAAAAGGGCTATCTATGTAGGGATCCTTTCCATTATGTTGTCCAGTTTTGCTGCTTCTGACTGCAGCACGCTCGCTTAGTTACAAACACATGGGTCCAGGTAACACTTAAAGCTTCTTCGAGTCTGCAGTGGACGCCAAAAAATTCAGAGTTCAGCCCCAGTCTGATAATAGCGAATGAAAAGCTTCACTAAGACTCCAATATGTACTGTATATCAAGAGATTAAAATGAAATCTGGATGGATGGTCGTAGTATTCTACTGTTGCTTCATGTGTTCGTAGTCAGGAAATGGAATCAGATTTGTTTTGACACACAACAGAGTAAGGTACTACAAAAAAAATTAGTCTCAAGCAAAGTGAAGATGATGCTTGACTGTTGCAGTTCTTGGACAGGCACACTACGTAATACAATGAACTACTGCACGCACTATACAGTGGAGCTATATTCTGTTCACATATCCAAACCTTTATATTACACTGAACAAAATTATAAACGCAGCAATTTTGTTTTTGCCCCCATTCATCATGAGCTGAACTCAAAGATCTAAGACTTTCTCTATGTAAACAAAAGGACTATTTCTGTTCACAAATCTGTCAGAATCTGTGTTAGTGAGCACTCCTCCTTTGCCGAGATAATCCGTCCACCTCACAGGTGTGGCATATGAAGATGCTGATCATACAGCATGGGGATTGCACAGGTGTGCCTTAGGCTGGCCATAATAAAAGGCTTTCGCTGTATTGGAGGGTTCCGGGGGGGTCCGTAAACCAGTCAGTATCTGGTGTGACCACCATTTGCCTCACGCAGTGCAACACATCTCCTTCTCATAGAGTTGATCAGGTTGTTGATTGCGGCCTGTGGAGTGTTGGTCCACTCCTCTTCAATGGCTGTGCGAAGTTGCAGTCAGGTCGAGACCCCGATGAGGACGACAACAATGCAGTTGAGCTTCCCTGAGACGGTTCCTGACAGTTTGTGCAGAAATTCTTTGGTTATGCGAACCGATTGTTGCAGCGGCTGTCCGGGTAGCAGGTGAAGATGCTGGATGTGGAGGTCCTGGGATGGTGTGGTTACAGGTGGTCTGCGATTGTGAGGCCGGTTGGATGAACTGTCAAATTCTCTGAAACACCTTTGGAGACGGCTTATGGTGGAGAAATGAACATTCAATTCACTGGCAACAGCTCTGGTGGACATTCCTGCAGTCAGCATGCCAACTGCACGCTCCCTCAAAACTTGCAGCATCTGTGGCGTTGTGCTGTGTGATGGAACTGCACATTTTGAAGTGGCCTTTTATTGTGGCCAGCCTAAGGCCTTTTATTGTGGCCAGCCTAAGGCACACCTGTGCAATACCCACGCTGTCTGATCAGCATCTTGATATGCCACACCTGTGAGGTGGATGGATTATCTCGGCAAAGGAGAAGTGCTCACTAACACATATTTTAACAGATTTGTGAACAATATTTAAAGAAATAGGCCTTTTGTGTACATAGAGAAAGTCTTAGATCTTTGAGTTCAGCTCATGATGAATGAGGGCAAAAACCAAAGTGTATAATTATATAATTTATAATATTATATAATATTATAAGTTATAATTTTGTTCAGTGTAGAAACACATTTAATCTACATGGCTGTGTATGTTCAAATTAACAACATTTTAATGCTGTATAAACTTAAATTCTATCCATTTTCTGCAGTGCAAGAGATCAAACTAACTCTGTACAGATGTGTTATGGCTGACAGAATAATAACAACTTTCTGTGTGTAATTTCTCAAAATAGTAGGATACTGCAGTGTACTTCACTAAAAACCATCTGTAAGCAAGGCTGACCAGGAAGCTAAACGAAGACTTTCATCACGTCAAAGCTGTCTCATAACTTTTTTTTGTCCCCAGGCTCATTTGTATGAAGACGACAAACTGAAGTCGAACCACAAATGAAGCGTCGTCTTCATCACTGGAGACGGACTATCCTCACCTCATTCTGTGTGTGTGAACTGCTGCCTCAAAACGGTGAACTGTCCCTTTTTTAATTAACTTGAAGGACTGATCACAATGTTCACCTTTAAATGTTTGAGATCTCTGACATGTCAAACGGGGCCAGGACGTAGACGCTGACCTTCAGGGGGAAGCCGTTATCGACCGACAGCTCCTCTTTTTTATCACATTTTACAGAAAAGCCGGACAGTCGACCCCCCTGACTGTCACGCTGGTGTTTGTGCCTTATTAGGAGGGAGACAGCCGAGAAAAGACGGGACAGACGTGTGACTTACCGTCCAGAGATGCTGCGAAAATCAAACGTGCTGCTAGCTAACGTGTAATTGAACGGTTGGTTTGAAAAAGGACAGCGTTTCCTCTCCAAGAGTTTCCAAAATGGAGTTAGTAGACATGACATACATGCTCGTTTTAAACGTGTTAATATTCCTTAAAACACACCAATGTTAGATTTTTAGGACCACGCTGATTTTCAAGAGGAAATGTGCTCGAAGCTCAATCACAAGGTAAACTGTCCTGTAAACATGCTAAAGTGTTAGCATACAGTGCTGGACTTCACCCACTTTTAATCTGTTTGGACGCCGCCGTACAGGATGTATTTTTTTTTTTTTTTTTTTTAGTTTCAACGTGTAGACGGCAGGAAAACGGTAATAAAGCGGACTGTGTGAGTTATTGAGAGAAAGGCAGCTTGATTTGATAAGATGATGACTTTAATGATCAGGCTATTTGGTCACACGTACTCGTTTCAGGGAATAAGTATTGTTTTAAATATCTTTTGAAGCAGCTTCTCCAGAGCTACGTGAGCTTCGCCATGAATAACTACATGAGCTACCGTGACCACATTAAAAGTCCACAATATTAGTTGAATGAAATTAATTTCTAAGGACCAAACATGCCTCTTTATTTTTTTTTTTTATTTAAATCAGAGGTACAAATAGAAAAATAGAATTTTCAACCTATTAGTGTTTATATCAAGCTTCACAAGACCCTTTACCAGTTTTAAATTAAACTATGGTACTAGAAACTCTAATTAAAATAAGAAACTCAAATATAACGCCCGACAATCATCTAATTAATAAAGCCAAACCATTTGAGTCATAATCAGCTTGCGTGTAGTTGTGCGGGACCAAGTGGGATGATTTATGTTTATTTATGTTTTCTGTGATCAAGGTCTTTTGTGTCTGTTATTGTTTGCCTGCTTGTGACAGTTGGATGTGAGCTTTGTTGGATGACTGATGTTTATGAGAGGCACAAAGCCAGAGGGAGCTGGTGAATGTTTGTGGTAGTGATCCAGGACATTTGCAGCAGAATGAAACGAAACACGCCAATGCATAAAATAAGCGGACACAACAGGTCGCGCTCATTTCTAACGGGGACCAATGTGAGTAAATAAGGATGCACCGATCTGACTTTTTTCAGTCCCAGTACAGATACTTGGGCTTTGAGTATCGATCCGACACCAGTGTTAAATTAATAAGCTGCATTCCTCACTGTGAGAAGGAGACTGGTGGTCTAAGACAACATCAGGCTTTTCTTAGACATTGCTTCCTAACTGTTGAACAGTTTTTTGAAAAAATATCTAATTGTGTTTTGACTGATTATTGCGATATGATTTGTACGGCAGAGTGTGAGGGCCACATTAAGGAAGAAATGCTACAGAGGTGTCCTGGCCTAGAATGTTTTTCAATGAAAATGAGAGCATGATCATTACAGTAATGATGTAAAATGATAGTTCCCTCCAATATAACAAATAATATTAGGGCCACATAAAAAAAAGAAATATGAGGATGAAGATTTATTTATTTTGTAAAGTGAAAACGTTGAAATTGTACATAAATCTTCATCCTCAATTTTCTTTTCCGCAATGTGGCTCTAATACGGTTTATAAGTAGTATTTGTAAAATGCTATTTGTGACATTGGAGCATCGTTATTGTCATTTAAATGATTATGGTTGGATTTATTTTCAGGATCTTCCTAAACAAAAGGTGTTTTCTTAAGTCTTTAGAATATGATGTGTAGGCCAGGACACCTCTGCAGCGTGACAATATTTAATGGTAATAAATGGTATTTTTAAACACATTTTGCCGTTAATATTGCACCTTCTCCCGGCCATAAAGCGATTTCAGTTAATTGTTCAGCCCTATTACTAACGTTGTAAAACATAATGTTATGTTAGCTCTCCTAGTAAAATGTTCGGGTCTACCGGCGCACTGCTGACACATCCTGTAGTTCTCCTTTAACTGAATTGATTGGCCGATACCTGATCCAGCCGTTTGAGTCAGTATCGGGCCGATATCCGTTATCAGTATTTATCGGTGCATCCTTATGTATAAACAAAAACATCGTAATCAGTTTGAACCACCACTCTGTAGCAAGTTTCTCTTTTTTATGTGTGTGCATTAAACCATTTTATCAAACCATTACTACCTGTTATTGAGGCTGAGCTGCTGAACTGCCGTAACATCCTGCATGATTGATGATACATGATTTCATGTAAAGTCCGAAGAGTTTTACAATCGACAACAGATGGAAAAACACTTGACCAACATTCTGCCTTCTGTGCCTTTAAACCGTAAAGATTTCAAATGTGAAGTGCTAATTTCAATGTTTCCTAAGATGTTTGATATGCCATCATTTTGTACCGTGTATACAATCAAGCTATAACTATGTGTATATTGTAGATATACTGTATGTTGTACAATGTGTATGGATATTTATGTTAAAGCCAGTAAACGGTTGAAAACTTCCTAAATCCAGTTTTTACACGTCTCATTTTGTTCACCGTGATGACACTCGGCTCGCACTGTTGTCTTACTACCTACAATTTAACTTTGTGTCTCCTATCATTTAGTTTCCTAGTCTCATCCTGCAATACCAGCAGAAATAACCTGGAAATAACGTAACTCTGCAGTCACATGAAGTGTGCTGAAATACAACACCGCCAGACTCGAATCATACTCCCATGCCACTAAATCCCTGCTCTGTCTCCCCAGCTGTGTACTCGATGGAAGATTTTGTTGGACTTTAATATTTGTAACCCACAGAAAACAATCCACAAATGTGTACTATGATGCGCAAATATTTCACTATCTACAAAGTGTATTTTTACATTTGTGATGTGTAAAATTAATATCCACAAAAATACAGAGTGACTTCTACACAAAACAGTTTTTGCACATTTGCAGAAAATCTGTCAATTTGTGGGTCATGCTACATTTGTGACTTCCTTTTCACGCATTTGTGGAATTTTGTCCACTCTGTACCACAGAGATCTGTAAACAGAGATCTGTAAATGTGAGAGCAGTTTATTAGCTACACCAGCAGGGTCATCTGTAGGAGACAACAACTTCTGCTTCTGCTGGACAACTGGACTCTTCTCTATCTAAACTTTTCTGTACAAGTGTATATAGTTTACTATTGAATACTTAGCGCTCCCAGCTTGGTGTTTTCAGTACAGCAGCTAGCATTTTCAGGTGTAATGCCTACATAAGGCTAAGCTAAGCTGCTAAAATCGTGCATACCAATATAAATGTTCAAACTTGTGTCAGTATGGACATGATACACATCGTTAGATCACTTTGATTTTCCAGAATTCAGTCATTCAGTCCATTTGACAGAAACCCTGAGCACCAAAGTCCTTCAGATTTACCGGCATGATAAAGGAACTGCAGACCTGTCTCACACATAGGCAGGATGGTTAGCTCTTTTATCGACCGTAGCGCATTGATTGTTGCGCGGTAGCGTCCACACACGCTACATTTTCCCAAGCATTTCTGAAGGATCAGTAAGTGACGCCAGTCACGCACGGACATGTATGTGTAGCCGGTGTTCTGACAATATATGCTGCCTTGTCGAAAAATTCTAAAGTAGCGGAAATCGATAGCAGAGCATCGAGTCGAAAAGTGCTACCTTATGTGTTTCCTTTTCCAACCCCATACAGGTATAACGCACAGTATTATGACATCTTCTGTTTTTTTATTATATTATAAAATCATTTCAGTGGTTCAATGTATTCTAATAGACTAATATCCCCTATCACATAATGCTCCCACTACAGAATAATTTTATATTGCACCATTACTCGCTCCATGTTTACTGTAAGGAGATGGGGAGCATGTTGAAATACTATATTATTAAGATATCAGGGGTAGCGTATTCTGATACACTAATGATTTTTGTTGATATTGCTGACGGTGACCCAACAGCAAGGTTGCACAGATTTATGGGCGTGGAAACAGCCTGCGCTTGTGGGTCGTGCGCATGCGCAGAACCGCTAAGTAGCACATCTCGATAGGTAGCATAAAACGACAGAACACGGGCAGAAGCACTTCCATGTGACATCATCTCTCTCTCTCTCTGCATGAATGTATAACAATATTGTCAAAGCTACATGTAAATTACATAAGATATAAAAATATATAAAAATAAATAAAAAATGAAAATAAAAAAATAAACAAAAAAATCAGTATCAAATGTGAACAATTACTAAAGTATCAAAATAATAATAATAAAGTAGCTTAGATGTAGTAAACTACTTTTGCCACGTTACTGTAACTTTCTTCATTTCATCGGGGGTAGCTTCTGTGTAATGAAGCTTCATTTAATCTAGAGTAACTGTAATTTTCCAAGCAGCTTGCTCACACTGCAAATAGCATATATAAATAAACAATAAAATTTATAGCATAAAAAGATAAAAAATTAAGCAATAAATACAGGAACAGTGTGTACATCACAAATTTAAATCCATCTGGTCTAGCTTTCTTGATAAATTAAACCTATGAGTACAGACCAGACCAACACATACGTAGAGTCTGGACAACCATGATGACAACATGATAGAAACAGCTGGATTTCCTCTGTCACTGGCTCCTGGCTTTCATCTGCACAAAGTGAAGGGAATGTGTTGTTTGCAGTATTTGGTGTGTGTGAGACAGAGACCACAGTATGTTTATGAAGTACATCAACAGTTTTCACCTCAGAGTTTTTAGAGTTAAACCCACCCTCCTTATGGAACTCAAAAACTACTGCTGTGATTTGCTGGAGATATTGTGGGCTGGCCCCGCCCCCTGCCATATCTTCTACATTTGTGACAGAATAACACATACCAGACGCTTCCACGGATACGGAAACTTAATAACGACAGAAACTGAGAAGAACATCAAAGGAGCAGTAAGGAGGTGAGCCTGTGGTCACTTACGAAGAACTTATACTTGTCGTTTTTGTTACAGAGAGGATTAAGCCCTCTGAAACGCTTTTTCTTTCAGTCCTGTTTTGAACTGAGGACATGGAGACACAGACGGGTGTTTGGCTCCTGGCAGCGCTGCTGTTGGCCCTGCTGAACTCTGAAGCTCTAGCAGAAGATAAATACTTCGCTGCTGGCGGGACACTGGAGCTGAGGCCTCAACCATCAGCAGCCATAACCAACATCCTGTGGAAACACAACAGCAATCTGCTGGCAGAGTGCAGGGAGCAGTTGATCTGACCTACTACGGGTTGTTTAAAGGCCGCACAACCCTGGACACAAACACTGGACGATTGCAAATCAACAACATGGGAGAAGCTGACGCGGGGCAGTACGTAGTGGAAATCAACAGCCATGCCCAGAGTCTGAGCTATGATGTTAAAATGATCAAAGAAGTGCCCAAGCCTGAGGTGGTGTTGCGACCAGTGTCCTGTAATGGGGATTCAGAAGCGTGCACGCTGTCCTGTGATGGAGACACTGCAGGGGCTGAACCCGTCACCTACAGCTGGAAGGAGGGAGCCGGAGACTGGAAGGAGTCGGGAAAGGACATGAAAATCACCAAGACTAACACAGGTGTTAAAACCTTCTCCTGCAAGATGGAGAACCCGGTCAGTGAGAAAGAAAGTGAACCTGAACCCAACCCGTTCTTCCAAAAGAAAGAATCAGACGGCGCTGGAATTTGTGAATTGCTCTCTGGGGCTTATACTTTCCTTTGGAAAATGATCTGTTCATGCTCAGACAGAAACAGCGATGGTAATTCAGCTTAAATTCTGCAACTTATTGCATTTAAAACAGCTACCATTTAACCACAAACTAAAAATGTTGCTCCTCAGACCTCCTTCATCCAGACATCTGTTAAGGTTTCACTCATCACACTGAACTGCTAAATATCAGGCAGCCAAATTGATCATCTCAGTAACTCATTTAGTGTTAGAGACTCAACTTAGATCTGCTGCCCACTTCCTATTCTGCTTAAACAAAATGTATAGCTTGTGTTGTTTGTCAGGCTTTTTAGCTTGTTCTAATCTCAGCCACTATAGATGCCTGATTAGATAGTAGCTGGTATATCACTGGCTGCCCTGCAAGATATCTTTGAATAGTAATGAACTGGATCGCTGGCACTAAAATAAATCAGAGGACCTGAAGCATGAGAGCAATATGTGATATATGTATGCATGTTTTTATTCTCCATCAGCCAATAGTTTGTTGGACGTAAATCGAATAAACTTAACACTCTTTTGAGGAACTGGATATGTTTTAGTGACGACCTAAAGCTGTATCACAGTGTATGAACATCTCACAGACAAAATTCTGTCCTCAAACCAACAAATAAAAAAGGTTCAATCAGCTTAACTATGGGCTGTTTTTCATGCTCTGTATTTTTTATTGTAACCATGTTTTAGCTAATTCTTTCACCAGCAGTTAGTTTCTATCTACCAGCACAACTGGTGAAAAGTTCTCAAATACTGTATACGTACATTTATTTGTCCTTCTACAGTGCAGAGCTGCACAGTGACATTAAGGCTGTCGTCCCCCTTCACGTTTCACACACCCGTTCATATAATAGTTATGTTAATACTTATAATATACCAATTTTCTTACTTCTAACACTTTTGGGGACTCGTGTCGCAGTGGGGGCAAAAACTGAGGTCCCTACAGGTAGAGACACTTTTTAAAGGTTACGGTTAGGTTAAAGGTTAGGTTAGGGTAAGAGGCTCGGTATTGCATTATGTCAATTAGATGCCCCGTGAAGAAAGAGGAACAAACGTGTGTATGTTTGTGAAGCTGTTCACTAAAAATCTAGTTTTCAGAGTTCAACAGAAGCTCTTATGAAGCTCAAAACCTACCTGTGAGATTGGCGGGAGATATTGTGTGCTGCCATATTTCAGTTCAGACAGCTGGTTCAAATAGTTTAGTTTAACTACATCAAGGGATAAAACGTTGAACGTTGAAGGAGGACCAGCTTCATGCTTTTACAAATACAGAAACTAAATGAACCACAGAAAATGGGAAGGACATTAAAGGAACTGTGAAGAGGTCGTCCTGTGGTGACTTAGGAACAGCTAATACTTCTCATTTCACTCTCTGAAACACTTACAGGGTCTACTTAGTGTTTTTCTTTCAGTCCTGCATTGATCTGAGGACATGGAGACACAGACGGGTGTTTGGCTCCTGGCAGCGCTGCTGAACGTTTCTTTAGCAGAAGATAAATACGTTGCTGTTGGTGGTAACCTGGAGCTGAGGCCTAAACCACCATCAGCAGTAGCCATCAGCAACATCCTGTGGAAACACAACAACAATCTGCTGGCAGAGTGGGTGAAGGGATTAATTAATCTGACATACTACAGTACGTTTAAAGGCCGCACAACCCTGGACATAACCACTGGACGATTGGAAATCAAGAACATGGGAGAAGCTGACGCGGGGCAGTACACAGTGGAAATCGACAGCCATGCCCAGAGTCTGAGCTATGATGTTAAAATGATCAAAGAAGTGCCCGAGCCTGAGGTATGGATGCGACCAGTGTCCTGTAATGGGGATTCAGAAGCGTGCACGCTGTCCTGTGATGGAGACACTGGAGGGGCTGAACCTGTGACCTACAGCTGGAAGGAGGGAGACGGAGACTGGAAGGAGTCGGGACAGGACATGAAAATCAACAAGACTCAGACAGATGTTGAAACATTTTCCTGCAAGATAAAGAACCCGGTCAGTGAGAAAGAAAGTGAACCCGAAAATAATCCGTTCTTCCAAAGAAATCTTCCAGACTTTGAACTCTGGACTAAGGTTTTAGGGACTGTGATAAGATCCTTGGCAATCGTGGCACTCTTTGTGACTGTTGTGTTCTTCTGTTATCTGAACCGAGAGACCGTCAGGAAGCTGATCTGTCCATGTCAGCGTGGAAAAGGTGACGATAACGCAGCTCGAGGTGGACGATCACCTCCACTTCCTGATAGAGATTAAAGCACGTCAGCCCTGCAGCCATGGAAAGGGAAGGTGCTGTGCTCTGCAGTTAAATATTACACATAAAAGCAAGATTTCTTTAGGAGCCAGATTATATTTCATTTTAACAGTGTTGTATAAATTCAGAGCTGACTTCAGGCTGTGAGTGTTTAACCATCTCTCATCTACTTTTTGTACCTGACTTAAAGTAGGCTTCTATTTTGATGTAAATACTTTAATAAAAATTATGAATGCACAACTTTTACTTTTAGTATTTCTACACTGTGGTATTGCTACTTTTACTTAAGTATAACTGCAGAATGTGTCAGGATCCTGTCAAACTTGTTCTCATGTTTTGACGTGTTGACCAAAAATGTGTATCTCAGTAGTGCGTACATCCTACACAAAGTTCAGACTCAAGTACTTCTGCAGCTGAATCAATTAGTAAAATAAAATATTAATAAAAAATATTAGTAAATTATTTCTTGGTGTGTTATTATCATATCAACATTTTATCACTATTTAAGCTACTGTACAGTATGTAGACACATGAGCCTGGAGTATCTAAGTTCTATTTTAAATGTTAAATAAATCCAAAATAATACTTATCATACAGTTATATACAACAGCTGAACTCCTTGATGTAATAAACTTTTATGATCAAGAACAGTGTCAAGCGGGTTTCTTCTCAACACATCACCGCAGCATTATTGTTCGGACACCACACTTGCATCAGACATTTTATCTTGAGGGACTCACTGAAGACCACTAAAGGAAGGAAACGATGTGATGCGGAAACCAAAGTCAACTCAGAAGACCAAAATAGCGACCTGTGAAGTCTTGTATTGATCTGAGGACATGAAGAAACAGACGGGTGTTTGGCTCTGCTCTTGGCAACAGTCCAGCGTTGGGTGTAACGCGTTACAAAAGTAACGCATTTACAGGAATGTATTGCTTTTTGCTGTAACGCAGTAATATAACACATTACTAAAGAAAATGGGTAATATTACTAGGCTACCTGTTACAATCTCAGTTACAATGCATTTTAACCAGAATTAAGTTTCACTTTTCTAATAATCCACCAACACACAGAAACATTTCGGCACCACAAAAACAAATCCATGGGTAAAAGAGTAACGTTATTTCCTGTTGCGGGAATCGAATGGTGGAGACTGTAGGCAGGGTGCAAACTACAGCGGAGCTCGGCCCCGCGGATATAACGCTGCCCATCACTAGAGCCCACCTATGCAGCACATCTTACTATCTGAATAATGCACCGCAGTGAAAGTAACGCAGAAGTAGTGTAAAGCATCACAATTCAGAGACAGTAATATTGTCATATAGCTAACTAATTACTCTCAAATAACAGTTGACTAACTAGTAATCTGTAATGTATTACATTTTGGATGTAACTTGGCCAACACTGGCAACAGCTCTGCTGCTGCTGAACTCTTCTTTAGCAGAAGATAAAGACATCGGCTGTGTCCGAAATCACCCACTACTCACTATATAGTGGACTATAGAGTGAGCTCGCCATTTTGTAGTGCTGTAGTGATAATTATTATACCCTATAGACAGGTTTCTTGTATACAAACACTACTGGATGCGCACAAAGCCAGGGGGGCAAAATCGCTTTGCTAGCCGGTGTTGTACAGAGTTCTGCCTGCCTGCAGAGAATTGCATGCACACCGTGGGTGATAACGGTCATTTATGCTGAGAAAAGAAGTGGATGCAAATCTCGGCAGGTAGCCTACGAAATTTGATCTGCCGAATTATGCATCCACCTCTTTGGGTACTTCTCAGACACTTTGCTGTGCTCATTGATCAAACAGCATTATCACCACATATATTTACATATATATGCATCACGGTTTAATCACACAGGCGTTATTACAGGCACAACATGAACATAACAGCATAGCATAACTGGGCACAGCGGCCACATATTCTCACACAGCTGACAGACGCAGCAGCAGCATCAGAGCTACAAAGCCACCAACATGCGCAGTAACGTTAAAAAATACATTTGAACCTAGCCTGGCACGGCGGCCACATATAGCCTAAACCACACACACACGCACAGATGGTAGGTGCAACAACATCAGCATGAATGAAGCAAGCAATTGTACACCAAACAAAAACTATAGCCTCCTGTCGAATAAACAATACCCTAACACTGTAAGTACAGTCTGAAATAGTAAATTAGCTTACTTTTGATGATTACAGCAGGAGCCGACGGGGCTTGGTGTTGAACACTCATATTATTTCATCATAGTCCAACGATTCAGTCAGTTCTCTTTCAAAGGAGAGCAGGGACAAAGAGTTCAGTCCGTGTGTCATCATTGATGCCCTGATGCCAGTTTTTATCCGATTGACAGTTGAAAACAGTCTTTCAACAGAACAGCTTGTTATGGGTAGGGTGACGAGGGCCCGCAGGAGACGATTCATTTTGGGAAATATGTCACTAGGACATGCGTCGAGCACCTCCACAACGGATGGAAAGGTCCTGTCCGCTGTGACCTTTCTCTTCAGCTGCTGTACAAACACTGCATGTTCTGCATCTTCCACATTGATGGAAAAGTGTGTGCTGGCGAGCTGTATTAGTGCCTTGTCACCAAAGGTGTCTGACCGAGGCAAGCACGCAGCATCGGCTCTCATAAACCTGTATGTGTCCGCCTTAAAACGAGTGTTCAGTTCCATGATCTGACTGTCTAATATATCATTCCATATATTTTTTAGGTCAGAGTTGTCCTTTACAGGTGACGCTGCATTAGCAACTTAGCTTGCAACTTCCTCTTTCGAGACCCGGTCATTTTCTGTCCTCCTGAATGTAGCGTAGCTCTCTTTAAGGCCTTCGATTAGATCAATGCAATCTGTAACTGATATGATGGAAGATTGCAAGCCCTTAGTGGTGTAGTCACTCATTTCAAATAATTTGTTGAACGTGACTAATAGAAACGCAAATTTTTTTGTTTGCATTTGCTGAAGTAGGAAGTCCGCTTCAAGTTTTGTGTGGCTGGAGCTTTCAGAGAATTCAGCAAGGGTCTCCAAAAGTGGGCCCAAAAGTGCCAGGACTTTACTTACTGTACTTGACCATGAGCTCCATCGGACATCGCAGGATCTCTCTAGTTCTAGCGTTGTTTTCCCTGGTCGCAGCTGTTGTTGGATTTCCATAAATCTAGCATGTCTATGTGACCCTGTCATGAAACTATGCAGGTTGTTGATGACCTTGAAAAATGCTGAAATGCTGGGGGACAACTTTGATACTGTGCACAGGACGAGGTTTAGGCCTGAGAAAACGTTTGCTTCAAAATCATGTGTACCCCTCATTGGTTGCCAGACATAACCGATGCCCCATCAAAACCAAACCCAACGCACAGAGCTGGGTCCAGCTGCAATGGCTCCAGTACTTCCAGGATCTTTGCTGATGTAGCATTTGCGTTCATGTCCCCAGTCTCCACAAATCCCAGAGCCCTTTCCTTCAGCTGGCCTTTGGGTATGTATCTGATACAGACTGCCACAAGCTCTCGTTTTGATAAGTCTTTACACTCATCTGCCAAAATTAGTATAGTATGTGTCTGTCTCGTCATGCAAATCTCTTTTTATTTTGCGGATAAGTAGCGATGCTGTGATTTCCAGTATCTCATTCTGTATTTGGGGGCTCGTAAGTTTCCCGTTTCTTGGCAATTCATCCAGTCACCATTTTATTTCTGGGTCATAGTTAGCAATTAGTTTAAATAATTCCAAGAAGTTGCCTCTGTTCAATGCCTCTTCATTTTCATGATGCCCACGCAACGGGATATCTTGTTTTGCACAGAATAAATCAAGGTCTATTACAACTTTAATGTGCTCTGTATTCCTTTCCACAAATGATCTGTTCATAGCATCATTGTTCAGCTGGTTGATAATATTTCCCCGTCCAGTCTGGTGGCTTTGCTTGAATCCCTGGGCTCTGCCCAGTGCTGTAGAATGCGCCATGCTATCCTTGTGTTTAACACAACATTGGGAAATATGTTTCCAGTCATTGAACCCAATTTTAATAAATCGGTCCTCAGTGGCCACCTCGGGGAAATGGCGACATGGCTTACAAAACACAGCGTCCCTAGAAGTGCTGTACTCTAGCCATTGAGATCTTTCATACCACCGGACAGAAAAACTTCTAGCTTTGCCTGCTATAGTGGTTACTGGGAATGAACTGCGTTTGGGCTGGGTCGCAGGTTCATCTATATTGGACAGGTCTGATGGGGCTTGTACGTCCTTGGCGCTGTATGTAGGCCTAACGTTACCTGTGCTTTGGCATGGAGGGGTTGATGTGGTTGGAGACTGGCTGACGAGGGAAAGCCTGAATTAGCCTTGTGTGTGTTGCTACTACTTGGCACTTGTTGAGGAGAAATTGACGTAGTAGTAGGTGTCTGTGTTGAAAATGGTGGCTGAACTTGAGGTGAATTCTCTTCCCCTTGCTCCTCACGGCGTCTTTTTGTTACAAATTTGAACAAATTTCTTTGTTTCGCCATGATTATCTGAATTTACATAGCTGAAAGCTATCAAAGACTGTTTTGTGCAATGCACTCACTGTGTGAAAGAGGAGGGGCTGTTTGCTACTTGACATTTGCTAAATAATGTGCCATTCAAAAAAATCTGACCTATCATCATCAAATGGTAAACAAGCAGGAAGAATAAAAAAATTAAAACAATGTTTTGACTGCACTGAATGATCAGTAAGAAATAAGGCCTTCTGATTGGGTGGGCCTGAGGGTCAAGTGGATGGGCCCGGGCCCACCCGTGGCTACGCAGATGAAGTGTATTAAAATATTAACGACTCTAAACTTTCATAAAATATATACTTCGAATCATTTATCACTATTGATGAAGCCCACAAAGAATATTGCAGAATTTAAAAGCATTATTTGAAAGTGGATGCAATTCTCGGCAAGCAGGCAAAACTCGGCACAACACCGGTCAGAAGAATGTAGGTTAGCGAAACCGGACGTAATGTAGTTCAAATAAGCTGCTAGTCAAAAAGCTAAAAGAAGAATGAGGGAGAGAGGCGTTCTTTCCACAGCTGTAAGTCTTGCCATTAGGTCCAAAGTAGCTGTGTCACACTCAGAGATGCAAAGAACAAGGTCCTCCGTAAACTTTGTGAGACCAGCAAAAATCTTTCAACCGCAAACAATTTTGTATTGAAGCATCTGCTAAGAAACCTGTAGAGAGAAACTCCGGCAGCTAACGTTCCTGCCAGTGAAGTATCCACTTGGTTGGACAGAGTGCCGTTAATCAACGTTTTGTGTTTTGTAAAAGCACTGAATATTTCTCTTATAACTTAAATGCATGTGCAAAACGGTAACGTTAGTTCAAAATTCTAAACACTTTAGAATTTACACATTACAATTAATGGCGTTAAAAAACGTTATATGCTTCGTAAAAATCATCCTCATTGATGCTTTTATGGATAACGTTACGTGATTAGTTTAAAAATTCGGG